ACCGGCGGACGACGCGCCCGGCGGCGCGCCCCATCGCCCGGCCCGCCGCGGCGAGCGACGCGGCGCCGCCGCCCGAGCGGTCGCTCAAGTCCGCGGCGGGCGTCGCGGCCGTCGGCGCCGCGGCGGTCGTCGGCGCCGTCGTCGGCGCCGAGGTCGTCGTCGGCGCCGCCGTGGGCCTCGCGGCCGTCGGCGGCGCGCGCGGCGTCGCCGCGGCGGCCGCGACGTTCGGCGCGTCGACGGCGCTCCGCGAGGTCGGGGACTGGGACCTCGTCGCCGGCGACCGGCTGCGCCTCGAGCGCCGCGAGAGCCGGAGCCTGCCCTACGTCGTCCACGCGGGCGACGTGCTCCGCTGGGAGTTCTGCGTCCGGCGTCACGACGTCGCGTTCCGCGCGAGCGAGCGCGCGATGTCGTCCGGCGGCGCCGTCGAGCTCGACCTGCTGCCGGCCGCGCGCTTCGCGGCGGGCCACGCCTACGGCGGCGCCTGGACGGCGGCGAAGACGACGACGCTGCTCCTCACCTTCGACAACGGCTACTCGCGGCTCCGGGGCAAGGACGTCGCCTACGCGGTCTCCGTGGGGCCCGCGGGCGCGCTCCCGGAGCCGCCGCGCGAGTCCGCGGAGCAGGCCTACCGCCGCGAGTGGGCCGACCTCCACAACCGGTAACCCGACCGTTATGGCGCCGCGAAGTGGGCGTCCGCGGGCCAGGCGGCGTGGCCGTCGAGCGCGGCGCCGCAGAAGTCGCCGTCGGCCCGGATCTCGCGGATGAGCTCGTCGAAGGAGTCGAACTTGAGCTCGGGCCGCACGTAGCCGACGACGACGAGCTTCAGGCGCTGGTCGTAGAAGTCGGCCTCGAAGTCGTGGAGCAGCCACGCCTCGATCGTCTTCCGCTCCAAGTCGCCAAAGTGCGGGTTCCACCCGACGCTCATGGCGACCTTGTAGACGCCGCGGTCGGCGCCGGACGCGACCTGGGCCCAGGCCGCGTAGATGCCCGTCCGGTTCTCGTCGACGAAGCGCCGCACGTCCCGCTCCTCGTCCGTCAACGTGTCGAGCTGCTCGGCCCAGTTGATGGCCAAATTCGCCGTCGGAAAGCCCAGCTGCGCCGACCCGCGGCCGAAGCCGTGGACGACCGTGCCCGCGAGCTTCGCCGGAGGCTGCAACGCCTGGAGCGACCGCTGGCAGACCGCGGAGAGCGCGGCCATAATCCGACGACGCGCGAGTCGTTCGCGGTCGAGAGGCAGCCGCGAGGCCGCGACGGCGCCGGCTCGAGGCGTAGAAGGCGGGCTGTGGGCCTGTTGAAGTCGAAATTTGCCACAAAACACTTTGTGGCAATTATGCGCGCGCTGCTCGTCGCGCTCCTCTGCAGCACACGCGCGCTCCAGACACACCAGACGCGCCGCAGCGTCCTCTCGACGATCGCCGTCAGCACCGTGACGCCGGCGGCGCGCGCCGAGTTCTACGACAGCAAGGCCTACGACGCCTACGCCACGACCTACGACGACCTCGACGGCGGCGGCGCCGCCAAGGCGCTGGGCCTCGACGCGGCGCGCGCGGCGCTCCTCCGGGAGGCGCGCGGCGCCGTGCTCGAGGTCGGCGCCGGCACGGGCCTCAACGTGCCCTACTACGCCGCGAACCGCGAGGTCCGGACGGTGGAGCTCGTCGACGCGTCCCGGGGCATGCTCGACGCGCTCCGGGCCCGCCTCGGCGGCGTCGCCAAGGCCACGGCGACCCTCGGCGACGCCACAAAGCTCGCGGCGGCGGACGGCGCCTACGACACCGTCGTCGACACGTTCTCGCTCTGCGTCTACGACGACCCGGGCGCGGCGCTCCGCGAGATGCGCCGCGTCGTCAAGGGCCGCGACGCCGGCGGCCGCGTGCTCCTGCTCGAGAACTCGCGGCCGGGCAACGGCCTCCTCGGCGCCTACGTGGACCTGACGGCGGACTTCGTCGCCAAAAACGGCGGCAAGGGCTGCCGCTACAACCAGGACGTCGCCGCGCTCGCCGCGGCCGCGGGCTTCGCCGTCGAGCGCGAGGAGGCCATCTCCGGCGGCTTCTTCCGGGCGTTCGTGTTGTCTAAGAGGTAGGCTCCAGAAAATAGGTTAGAAGCCGACGGCGACGTCGTAGCAGGGCAGGCCCGTCGCGCCGTCGGCGATGGTCACGCGCGCCTGGGTCGCCGTGGGCCACGTCGTCGCCGTCGTCGCGGCGGCCCCCGCGCGGAGCGCGGCCATGAGCGTCACGTTCATGGACTTCGGCGGGCCCGCGTCGGGCCGGGACCGCGTCGCCGCGCGCTCGGCGATCATGCACGCCGCGCCGCCGTGGAGCCCGCCGATGCCGTTGCAGTGCGCCGCGGTGACGTCCATGGAGCCGTCGGCCCGGAATCCGAACACGTCGTCCGCCGTGAGCCCCGCCGCGCCGCCCTCGTACGCGTGGCGCGGGCCGCGGTCCGCGAGCATCTCGAGGAGCGGCAACGTCGCGCGGCGCAGCGGCGAGTGGATGAAGAGGTCGTGCTGGAACCCGAGGTTCAGGAACTTCACGTGGCGCCCTTCGAGCAAGAGCCGGTCGCCGTCGTCCGCGCGGACGTCGCAGGCTAAAAAGGCCAACGTCCGGCCCTGCTTCAAAAGCCGCGTCTCCACGGTGATGGCCTCGTCCGGCGCCACCTAGAAGGATGTTTCGTCGTGTTCCCGGTCAAAATCTCTCGAACACGGGCACGGCCGTGGGACGCCGGGCGCCACTACCGCGCCGTCGACGACGTCGGCGCTCAGCGTGATGGACAGGCCCGCTCTCCCGTCGGGCGAGAACTCCGCCAGGCCGCCGAACGTCGAGCACTGGTCCAGAATCGCGAGGAGCGCGCCGAGCGGCGCGGCGCCGTCGGGCCGCGCGCACCACTCCGGCACGCGCGCGCGCACGCGGGACGTCGTCTTCGTCGCCTCCAGGAACTCCACGGGGCCGCCGAACTCCGTCGGCGTGAGGTCCAGGTAGCGCGGCCCGAAGGCGCCCATCGTCGACGTCGCGGCCTGCTTCCAGTAGAACCGCTGCCAGGGGTTCATGCGATGCATGATCAATAGTGATAGTTCGAGGGCTACGGCTGCGGGCGGATTGCCGCGCTGCGCCGGGACGAGCGCTGCTGGAACTGGCTGAAACTAAGGCCGAAGGCCGCCCATGCCCTTGTGGCAATTTTGTGGCAAATGACCATCAAGAGCAGTGCTAGGCTAGGAGAGGTTAACAGCTAGAGGGCCTACCCGGGGGGTTTGCGGCACCAGGCCTCGCGGCACTGGGACTCCAAGCCTAGCCGCGACCGCCACGGGCGGCCGGGCTGGCATCTAGCTCCGAGGGGCCAGGCGCGCGGGGGCTCACTCGCAGTCCGTGGACTCGCTTCGCGGCCCGCGCGGACATGCCATACTCAGGACGGGTCCGGTTTTCCATCCAGCATTGGCGCCGGACACGGCCAGAACGCACGAGGTTTCTAGACACCGCGCCGACGCCGCCGTCAGGGTCAGAGAGCTGAGTTCCCCCCGGCGCCCGCCTTTCACTTGAGCGGCCTTCTCGGTTCGCCGCCGCTCAGAGGGGATCTCCGCCCGATACGGTCCGTACGCAGCCGGGACCTCGTCCGCGACCTGGGACCGCCGTTGCGGCATCGTGCTCTGAGGAGCAGCTCGTTGACGATGCGGAACCGGATTGACACCGCCCCTTTGTCGACTACAGCCTTGTCCTTTGACACGAGGCTGGGAAGACGAGGCCACCGCACCCTCCGGGAAGAGCTTCCGGAGGACTGGGCGAAAACACGACGCTGAAAAACCCCGCCCCCGGGAAAACCCGACCGGGAGAAAAGCCGGAGGCTGGGAAAAGCGAAGTGCGAAAAAACCCTGGTGTTGTCCGAGTGCCAATCCAGCCCGTAACCACATTCGCAGCAGAGTCCTCGAGAGCAAACAGCGCCAGCCAGTCAGAGTGCCACGCCCCGGCGTCGTCCCAAGTGCCGCACCGGTCCGTGGGAAGAGAGCAAAGCCGCACAGGCGCCAGCCAACCAGAGTGTCACGCCTGAGCAGGTGCGAGCATTCGTTAAAACTCCAAAAAAAAAGTCAGCGGCGTCCGGGCCGCCCCGCGCCCCCGCGCGCGAATCCGAGCGCCACAGACGCCGGAAAGGGTGTCGGAGCAGCCGCGCGTCGCCGCAGTGACGCTGAAGTCCTCGTCCCGGCGGCCGCCACCGTGTGGCAGCCCTATCGCGCTGCCGCCACCGACGGGCCGACGAGGGCTGCCCCGCGCGCACCGCAGGCCGCGGGCACCGCGCCGAGGCCGTGGCGGCCGCGACCGGGAGCCAGGGCCCGCCACCCGGGGCGCGCGCAGCCCAGACGCCGAGCCATAACATCGGAAAAGCAGCATCAGCGAGTGCAACACAGCTTATGGGCATTCGTTGCAGTGCTTGACGGGCCCTAACCGCGCCGACACGCCCGCATGGCCAGCTGGCGCGTCACGGCGGCCAACGGCGCCGGCCTGCGCTGCGCGTCTTCCGTGTCGAGCGCCATCATGTGCCGCGCCTACCGCGGCGAGGTGCTCCGGGCGCGCGACGCCGTCGCGGGCGACGCGGGCTGGGCCTGCGTCGTCAAGCCGGGCTACGGCCTGCTCTGGGCGCTGCGGCGCGACCTGGAGCGCACCGACGCGCCGCCGTCGCCCGCGCCCGCGGAGCCGCCGGCGCCGCCGGCGCCGCCGACGCCGCCGACGCCCGCGGCGCGCGCGGCGCCCGCGGCCGGCGCGCCGCCGGCGCCGCCGCTGCCGTTGCTCGACGCGCCCGGGGACCGCCTCGTGCGCGCGTTCCGCGCCGCGGAGGCCGAGGAGTGGCCCGCGGGCGCGCCGCGGTGGCCGCGCGTCGCCGGCTTCGGCGGCGCCTGGGTCGTGCACGTCATCTCGGACCTGCACACGGACATGGCCGAGAACCGCGACTGGCTCGCGCGCCACCCGTCGCCGCGGACCGCCGACGGCGCGAAGCACTGCGTCGTCGTCGCGGGCGACGTCGCGACGAAGCTCGACGCCGTCGAGGCGACGCTCCGCGCGCTAACCGCCTCGTACGACGCCGTCTTCTACGTGCCGGGCAACCACGAGCTCTGGTACGTCGGCGTGGCGGGCGCCCACGAGCCCGAGGCCTGGGCCGAGGCGTCGCGGTTCAGCCCCGGAAATCCGCCGAAGCGCGACTCCTTCTGCAAGCTGCTGGCGATCGTGCGGCTCTGCCGGGGTCTGGGCGTGCGCACGGGGCCCGCGTCGCTGACGGACGCGCTCCACGTCTGCCCGCTCTTCTCCTGGTACCGGGGCACGTTCCTCGACGACGCGTGCGCGACGGCGTCGGACGGCGCCTCGGTCTTCGCCGGCGTCCCGCGACGATGTTCGAGAGATTTCGGGCGGGAAACCAACGAGACATCGTCACCGTCACGCTTGGTAGGTCTTCACGAAGGTGCGGCGCGACGTCGGCTGCTGCCCGGCGTCGCCCCAGGAGCTCGGGTTCGACGCGGGCTGCGCCTGGCCCGCGCACGTCCAGGCCGCGGACGCCCGGGGCTCCTTCGGCGGCGGCGTCGCGGACGCGATGCTCCGGCTCAACGAGCGCCGCGTCGCCGCCGCGCCCGAAAACGGCGCCGTCGTCACCTGCAGCCACTTCCTGCCGCGGCGCGAGCTCTACGTCGGCTGGCGGGGCCTCGGCAAGTGCATGGGCGACCCGCGCCTCGACGCGCAGCTCCGGAAAGCGCGGTGCGCGGTCCACTGCTGCGGCCACGCCCACACGGACTTCGACGCGACGCACGGCGGCGTGCGCTACGTGCAACGGGCGCTGGGCTACCCGCACGAACGGTACGGCGCCTTCCGCGGGCCGCTTGCGCTCGAGTTTCCCCCCTAAGTGTACCTGTGTGTGTCTTGCCTCGAGGGCGTAGGCTCGTTCCTCGGGGCGCGCCAGCCGCCCCGGGGGCGACCGCTGGGTCCTAAAACAAGCTACTACGCCTTGTCGAATCGCGCGTCGTTGCCCTGGATGCGGATGGAGAAGGAGCAGCTCGGCAGCGTGCCGTACTCGGCGGTCACCGTGGCGACGATGCCGAGGTTCGCGAGGGCGCCGCGGAGCACGCCGCAGGGGAACTGGAGGATGTTCGCGGTGACGCGTTTCATGGCCTCGGCGTCGTCGGAGCTCACGCGCGCGAGCCAGCGGAAGGTGTAGTCCTTGAGGACGAAGACGCCCCGGTGGTTCGTCTGGAGCTTGTCGATCTGCTTGCCGAAGATCTCGTTCCAGACGTCCTTGCAGATGAACTTGATCGCCTCGAGGTGGTCCGCGGCGAGCGCGCGCGCCTGCGCGATGCGCTCCACGAAGCGGTAGCCGACCTCGTAGCCGTGGAGCTCGGGCCGCGAGCTCGCCGTCTCGCCGCTGGGGCCGATGATGGGGCCCTCGCCGGGGAAGTCGAGCTTCACGGCCTCGGTCAGGAGCATCTCGAAGAGGCACTCGGCCACGGCGTCGGGCATCGCGCGCGCCGGTGCGTCGTCGCGCGCCGCCGGCGGAGCGACGGCGCGCGCGGTGTTTTACGTGTAAACGCTGGGAGTTCGTCCGCGGCCGCCGCGCGCGCCTCACTGCCGCCTCGGGCACTGCTGCCGCAGACAGGCGAGCTCGCCTCGGTTGCCGCCGCTGCCGCCGCCGTGGACGCCTCTGACGCCGTCGGCCGCGCCGCCTCGCGAGGTCCCGGACCGCCCACCAACCCCACCTCCCCCGCGACGAAGGTGGCTCTGCGATGATGTAGGGCGCGGCCGCGTCTCGGTGCGAGAAAAAAGGCGGCGGCGCGCGCCCTGCGCCGGCCCCGCGCGGCGCGGCGGGGCGGGCGGTCCGAGGGCGGATGCGGTCGAGGTTTCGGTCTTTCGTGGGCCGGGCGGTAGCTAGGAGGCCTTCTCGGCGGGCGGCGCCTCCTTGCTCGGCGTCGGCGGCTTCTGGCCGCCGCGCATGGCGTCGCCCATGGCCTTCTTGAGGTACGCCATGGAGCCGCGCCGCGCCTTGCTCGACTTGGCGCGCTCGAGGCGCTCTTGCTCGGCCGTCTGCGCGGCGGCGGCGTCGTGCATGTGCTCGAGGACGTCGAGGTCATAGATGTCGCCGTCGAGCCTGCGCGTAAACACGGGCTCCCGCGACGCGCGGCGCGGCGCTCTCTCTCGCGTGTCTCTCTCGCACGTTTCTCTCGCGCGGCGCGCGCGCGACGACGTCGCCTCCCCGCGCCGCGTCGCGCTGCGCGTTCGGGTGGAGGAACTCGACCTGGCCGAAGAAGCTGTCCATCGAGTGGCTGCCCCGGCGGCTCTTCCGCCGCTGCGGCGGGCCCGAGCCGCCGCCGCCCTCGGGCGCCGGCGCCTCAAACTTGGGCGTCTTCCGCGGCGCGTCGGGCGGCGCCTCGATGAAGGCGACGATGCACGTGATGTCGTCCGTGCGCTCCTCGCGCTTCATCCACCGCTTGTAGGCCTCGCCTGCGTGTAAATCAACCACTGGTTTGGGACTTTGCAATTCTCTAGCTCGGTCAATTCGAAGCCGATTCGGCTGATTTTGGACGGATCGATTGCTCGAAGTCGATTCGGCTGATTTTTGGACGAATCGATTGCTCGAAGTCGATTCGGCTGATTTTTGGACGGATCGATTGCTCTCATCGAGTTCTCGAAGCACGGCCGGAGAGGCCGGTCCGAACCGTTCGATTACGCTCACATTTGAAGTCGGGTTGAAGATTTGAGTTCCACGCAGGGCCTCGCCCACGAGGGCCTTGCAGCTGTCGAGCGGGTCGCTGTAGAGCAGCGCGATGCGGACGCAGTCCGTGTTCGTGATGAACTCGAAGACGCCGTCGGAGGCGATGATGAGCACGTGGTCGTCGGCCGTGATCTCGTGCTCCCGGATCTCCGGCGTCGCGATGACGCCCAGCGTCTCCGCGAGCGAGTCGCCGATGGACCGCGTGAACGCCGTGCCCGGGTACTCGAGGTCCTGGTTCCAGACGCGCGGCGGGTCGCCGTCGTCGTCGAGCTCCTCGCCGAGCTTGCAGTCCCAGTTCTCGTGGTAGGGCACGATGCCGTCGACCTACGGTTGCTGTGATTTGCGAGGTGCGTGGCGACGGGCGCGTCACGCCATGCGTGCTCTGCGCGCACGCGCGCTGGTGCGCAAAGCTGTGCTCTCACAGGAGTGGCAAAGTCAAGCGCGCGCGTCGCGAAACGCCCCCGCCCCCCCGTCCGACCGAGCCCCGGGAGCCCCCGACGCGGCAAAAGGACCTGGTCCGCGGACATGATGCGGCCGCCGCACTTTTTGATGCGGTCCCGCTCGACCTTGGAGAAGGGCGTCTGGTCGTGGCTCAGCGCGACGGCTCCCAGGGACGTGCCGAGCATCGCGCGCGAGTCGCCGACGTTGCCGACGTAGAGCTTGCGGCCGGAGGAGAAGACACAGATGGCCGTCGTGCCGCTCAGCGAGTCGTCGTGGGGCGACTTCTTCAGGCGGCGGTTCGCCTTCTCGTAGGCGTCCGTGAGCGCGGCGGGCACGTTCGCGGACTGGCCCTTGACCTTCTCGACGACGATCTTCTTGATGTTCTCGCACGCAAAGAGGCTGCAGGCGTCGCCCGTGGGGCCGTGGCCGTCGAAGACGCCGAAGAAATGGTGGCTCTTGTGGCCCACGTTGTGGGCGATGACGAACGAATCCTGGTTCGCCTTCTTGCGGTCGTGCGGGTAGAAGCCGCGCTGCGTGACGGACGCGTAGCGGAACCGGAAGCCGTCGCTGAGGTCCACCGTCGTCGTCTTCATGGAGTTGATGCGGCCCTTGACCTCCTTCTCGCTGAGCTCCCCGAAGTTCCCCGCGCCCTTGGGCCAGCTGCACGGGTACTTCTCCCGCGTCATCTCCGGGTCCATGGCGCCGGCCTCTTGGTGCGTGCCCGCGGCGGCGCCGCCGCGGGATCCGAGCCCCGCCCCGCGGGCCGCCCAAACCCCGGGGGGCGCGTCAGCCGCGCGGGCGCGGGTTTCGAGCGCGGGCGCGCCGCCGACGGCGCGGCGCGGCGGGCTGCCGGCGGTACCGCAGACGATGTGTGGCTGCCCGAGAGTGCTCAACACTCCTGTCGCTGCACTGAGAGATCTTGAAGTGAGATACCTTCCTCGTAGTTGCCGTTCAAGAGAGAGTGTAACTTCGACCTCGGCCGAGGAAAATCACGGCAGGAAAAGCATGGTAGGCTTCGACGGAGGGCCACCGATGGTCCGGGAGGAACGGCGAAACTACGAGGGTACCGTGCTGAAGTGATGCACTCCCGCGCAGTGGGCGGTCCCACACTGCGAGGAGTAGGTGGGAATTCAAGGTCGGCCACAGGCGCGCGTCCGGCGGAGGGCGGAGAACGGCTCGGCGCTTTGCTCCGTCGACGGCGTCGTCTGCCGCTCTGCACCCAAGATCGCGAGCCGAGCCTCGACCGCCGCGCACCCATGTTCGCGGGCCTCGTCGTACGACGCTACAACACGTATTACACGGGCGCCCGGGCCGCCGCCGCCGCCGCCCGCGCGGGCGCTTCCCGCGGCGGGAGGTCGCACTTCGCCGCGTCGGGCGCGCAGCCGGCGTAGACGTCGAGGAGCCCGCCGGCCGCGTCCGCGGCGTCCGGCGCGGCGCACGCGCAGCGCTCGGGCTCGTCGTCGTCGCC